AATAAATATATATATATATACTGTATGTTGAAATATGTTTTTATTACAAAATATTAAAAAAATATTTTTAAAAATACATTTTCAAATATATCGTGTCTTTAACCCCTCGCCTACAGGGCACTTCTACCCCCTTCCTGCCTACAGGACACTTCTACCCCCTTCCTGCCTACAGGCACTTCTACCCCCTTCCTGCCTACAGGGCACTTCTACCCCCTTCCTGCCTACAGGACACTTCTACCCCCTTCCTGCCTACAGGACACTTCTACCCCCTTCCTGCCTACAGGACACTTCTACCCCCTTCCTGCCTACAGGGCACTTCTACCCCCTTCCTGGGACACTTCTACCCCCTTCCTGCCTACAGGGCACTTCTACCCCCTTCCTGCCTACAGGACACTTCTACCCCCTTCCTGCCTACAGGACTTCTACCCCCCCTTCCTGCCTACAGGACACTTCTACCCCCTTCCTGTCTACAGGACACTTCTACCCCCTTCCTGCCTACAGGCACTTCTACCCCCTTCCTGCCTACAGGACACTTCTACCCCCCCTTCCTGCCTACAGGGCACTTCTACCCCCCCCCCTGTGTCCAGGCCAATTTCCAGCTTTCAGTGCTGTCACACTTTGAATGACAATGAATTGCGCGGTCATGCAACACTGTACCCATGTGACAATTTTGTATCATTTTTTTGTGACAGATAGAGCTTTATTTTGGTAATATTTAATCACCTCTGGGGTTTTTTTTTCTTAAACAAACCAAAAACCACTGAAAATTTTGAAAAAAAAAAATGTTTTTTCTTAGTTTTTGTTATAAAATTTTGTAAATAAGTGATTTTTCTCCTTCACTGATGTGCGCTAATGAGGCTGCAGTGATGGGCACTGATTGGCTGCACTGATGGACACTGATAGGTGGCACTGGTAGGTGGCACTGATGGGCATTGACAGGCATCACTGATGTATACACAAATATATTGTGTCTTTAAAAATACATTTAATCTACTTTTTTGGAATGCATTTACAAATATATGTAAAAATATATGTTATATATATATTTTGTAATATATAAAAAACGCATTTCAACATGCAGTATATATATATATATATATGTATTGGAATACATTTCTAAATATATTGAATACAGCCAAAATTGTAGCATATATTTAAAAATATATTTCAATACATATATATATATATATTGCATGTTGAAATGCGTTTTTTATATATAAAAAAAATATGAAAAATATTTAAAAAAAAAAATGTTTTTAAATATATTCTTCAGACTTTTTTTTAACATATAAAAAAGTAACATATATTTGTAAATGCATTCCAAAAATGTAGAGTAAATGTATTTTTAAAGACACAATATATTTGAAAATGTATTTTTAAAAATATTTTTCATATATTTTGTAATAAAAATGCATTTCAACATACAGTATATATATATACAGTGGGGATCGAAAGTTTGGGCACCCCAGCTAAAAATTTGTATTAATGTGCATAAAGAAGCCAAGGAAAGATGGAAAAATCTCCAAAAGGCATCAAATTACAGATTAGACATTCTTATAATATGTCAACAAAAGTTAGATTTTATTTCCATCATTTACACTTTCAAAATGACAGAAAACAAAAAAAATGGCGTCTGCAAAAGTTTGGGCCCCCTGCAGAATTTATAGCATGCACTGCCCCCTTTGCAAAGCTGAGACCTGCCAGTGTCATAGGTTGTTCTCAATCATCGTCTGGGCAGACCAGGTGATGTCAATCTCAAAGGTTTTAAATGCCCAGACTCATCTGACCTTGCCCCAACAATCAGCACCATGGGTTCTTCTAAGCAGTTGTCTAGAAAACTGAAACTGAAAATAGTTGACGCTCACAAAGCTGGAGAAGGCTATAAGAAGATAGCAAAGCGTTTTCAGATGTCAATATCCTCTGTTCGGAATGTAATTAAGAAATGGCAGTCATCAGGAACAGTGGAAGTTAAAGCAAGATCTGGAAGACCAAGAAAAATATCAGACAGAACAGCTCGCAGGATTGTGAGAAAAACAATTCAAAACCCATGTTTGACTGCACGATCCCTCCAGAAAGATCTGGCAGACACTGGAGTTGTGGTACACTATTCCACTATAAAGAGATACTTGTACAAATATGGTCTTCATGGAGAGTCATCAGAAGAAAACCTCTTCTACGTCCTCACCACAAAAATCATCGTTTGAACTTTGCAAATGAACATATAGACAAGCCTGATGCATTTTGGAAACAAGTTCTGTGGACCGATGAGGTTAAAATTGAACTTTTTGGCTGGAATGAGCAAAGGTACGTTTGGAGAAGAAGGGGCACAGAATTTAATGAGAAGAACCTCTGTCCAACTGTTAAGCATGGGGTTGGATCAATCATGCTTTGGGGTTGTGTTGCAGCCAGTGGCACAGGGAACATCTCACGAGTAGAAGGAAACATGGATTCAATAAAATTTCAGCAAATTTTGGATGGTAACTTGATGCCATCTGTGAAAAAGCTGAAGTTAAAGAGAGGATGGCTTCTACAAATGGATAATGATCCTAAACACACCTCGAAATCCACGGGGGATTACATCAAGAGGCGTAAACTGAAGGTTTTGCCATGGCCTTCACAATCTCCTGACCTCAACATAATTGAAAATCTATGGATAGACCTTAAAAGAGCAGTGCGTGACAGACAGTCCAGAAATCTCAAAGAACTGGAAGACTTTTGTAAGGAAGAATGGGCAAAGATACCTCAAACAAGAATTGAAAGACTCTTGGCTGGCTACAAAAAGCATTTACAAGCTGTGATGCTTGCCAAAGGGGGCAGTACAAGATATTAACTCTGCAGGGGGCCCAAACTTTTGCAGACGGCATTTTTTTGTTTTCTGTTATTTTGAAAGTGTAAATGATGGAAATAAAATCTAACTTTTGTTGCCATATTATAAGAATGTCTAATCTGTAATTTGATGCCTTTTGGAGATTTTTCCATCTTTCCTTGGCTTCTTTATGCACATTAATACAAATTTTTAGCTGGGGTGCCCAAACTTTTCGATCCCCACTGTATATATATATATATATATATTTTTTTTTTATTTTTTTTTTTTTCATTTAAATATATTTTGAAATATATTGAATATGGCCAAAATTGTAGTATGTCAATATATTTGGGATGAATATTTTTAAATCTCCTCTGGCTTCTGCCTGGCTTGGTGGGGGATAAATTTAAAATATATTTTTCCTCCATGTGGGGTGACATGCGGTGCTATCCAGTGAGGTTTGAAACTATGCAGCATGTCTGCATTTTATTGGACCTTCAGGCTGCATTGTAGGGAGAATGGGGGAGCATAGAAAACAATTGTTTTCTATCTGCCTTGGTGGTGACTGGCATTCTTCTAGTGTGGAAAAACGGCAGTCACTGCTCTAGTGTGAATGGGCCCTTAAAGTGGTTGCATGAAGGTAAAAAAAACTTCTGCGTGCTGCTCCCCCCACAAACTCTCCCTTAGACTCACCTGAGCACCCTCTCAATCCAGTGCTGTACACGAGAACTGTCCTGGGCAGGGACGGACTGACAACTCATGGGGCCCCCGGGCAATAGGGGATCATGGGGCCCCTGTGTCCTTGCCCAAACTCAAATAAGCCTATGAAAAAGGTACCAGGGGCATCTCATGGGGCCCCCTACTGACCCCGGGCCCTCGGGTAGTGCCCGAGTTTCCAAATGGTCAGTCCTCCCCTGGTCCTGGGTCTCTCTTCACATTGGCTGGGACACAGCAGCAGGATCCATTGCATCCCACTGCTGTCAATCACAGCCAGTGAGGAGAGAGCGGAGGGGGGGGGGGGGGGCAGGGGGGCAGGGCTGAGCTTCAGCTTTGTGTGTTACGGATGCATAGAGCGGGGCCCGGGAAGCGAGCACGCACCAGTGCCCCCATGGCAAGTGACTTGCTATTAGAGGCACTGGTCAAGGGGGAGGGCAGGGGACCCAAGAAGAGGCAGATCGGGGCCGCTCTGTGCAAAACCATTAAACAGAGCAGGTAAGTATAACATGTTTGTTATTTAAAACAAAAATGAACCTTTAATATCACTTTAAGGCAACGTTAAAAAAAAAACATGTAAAACGTGCAATACATGTCCATTCCCCCATGTTTTATCCCTTTAAACACAATAAAAGTACAGAAAAAAAACTGATGATGTGCCGGAAATATAGAATGCTCCTACCTTCTTCTTTGACATCTTCCAGAATCGTGGAAAAATGTTCTCCTGCGCAGTATAGAACACATACTTATAAGATTTGAGAACCTCACCTTTGCCATGAGGCTGTGGTAGGGCCAAAGTGAGAGAACTGAAGCCAAAGTCTAAGCAGTGGCATAAATAGAACCAGAGAAGTCTACAAGAGTGCTACAGGGCCTGGGGTTGGAGCTGGTGCCCCACTCAGGAGATGTTTGAGGAACATTACACAGAGCATGTGAAGGTCCAGATTCAGGACTCCGATTGTAAAGTTGACTACAACCTTGACCTCCAGTGTAGAAGAATTGACATCAGAAGCATAGAAGGAATGATTGGGATCTCTGTTGCTAATCACAGTTCTCACTTGATCCACTTGGAAGTGAATTTTTTTGCTTTGACAGTTTCTGGTCATCCTGGTCACCATTCCAAAATGAGGCTGTAAAAAAAGATCCCAGTGTCTTCTCAGCTAAAAACGGGTAAAACGGTTAGGGTCTGTAGCACTTAAAAAAAACCAAAACCATAATTTAAAGAAGTTTATAATAATGACATATTTATAACATTCAAAATGTTGCTAAGGTGCCATATAAATTATAACTAGGGCCCTGGGTCTAAGGTAAGTATTTATTTTCTACTAAATTTGCTTTTTTGTAACATTTTTACATGGCATGGGGGTATGAAGTCGCAGTACCTTGGATTTTGTTGGTGTAAGATCCACATTAACATAGTCAACATTCAGTGAATTCTTGACCAAATAATTACTCCTGTCTCCTCTCTTTGTGCAGTCATGTGATGTGGACGGGTGCTATGGAATGTGGTCAGCTGACCCCTCAATCTATACGTCAAGTCACCATTTCTCGTCAACCAGGAGTTGGCTTTGGATTTGTTGCTGGCAGTGCAGGACCCGTTGTTGTACGATCTGTCATTGCAGGTGAAACTAAAAGATCAATTCATTATTTAATCATTTCAGTCTATTCCATCGCAAATAATAATCTATTGCAGTAACATCTGACACTTGCTACGTAATCATCTAACATGCAAGTTCAGAGCATTGTATATATCCCTCCAGACCAGAACTACTCTTTGGAATGTAAAGAACATCTATAGCATTGTATGTTTTACTATGCAAACCCATGCATTTCTGAATTTTTTGTGGCAAACAAGTTCTAGACGCATATCCATTGAGTTCAACCGAAAAAAAAAATAAGTAAAAAGTAGCATCGTCAGAACCCCTGACCTGCAGCTGATCCAGAGGAAAGCTAAACTCTTACAAGGCATGGCCCAGTTGGCATGGTCCAAATTCTTCCCTCATTCCCAAATGCAATTGCATAACATTCTACAGTTATTGCTTATAGGTGAAGCTTAAAAAATTTGAATATGGTGCAAAAGTTCATTTATTTCAGTGCAGCAACTTAAAAGGTGAAGCTAATATATGAGATAGACTCATTACATGCAAAGCAAGATAGTTCAAGCCATGATTTGTCATCATTGTGATGATTATGGCTTATAGCTCATGAAAACCCCAAATCCACAATCTCAGAAAATGAGAATATTGTGAAAAGGTGGAAAAAGGTCCCACTCTAATCAGGTAATTAGGCCATAAACACCTGCGAAGGGTTCCTGAGCCTTTAAATGGTCTCTCAGTCTGGTTCAGTAGGAATCACAATCATGGGAAAGACTGCTGACCTGACAGTTGTGCAGAAAACCATCATTGACACCCTCCATAAGGAGGGAAAGCCTGAAAAGGTAATTGCAAAAGAAGTTGGATGTTCCCCAAAGTGCTGTATCAAAGCACATTAATAGAAAGTTATGTGGAAGGGAAAAGTGTGGAAGAAAAAGGTGCACAAGCAGCAGGGATGACTACAGCCTGGAGAGGATTGTCAGGAAAAGGCCATTCGAAAGTGTTGGAGACTTTCACAAGGAGTGAACTGAGGCTGGAGTCAGTGCATCAAGAGCCACCACACACACACACGGATCCTGGACATGGGCTTCAAATGTCGTATTCCTCTTGTCACGCCGCTACTGAACAACAAACAACGTCAGAAGCGTCTTACCTGGGCTAAAGAAAAACAGACCTGGTCTGTTGCTCAGTGGTCCAAAGTCCTCTTTTCTGATGAGAGCAACTTTTGTATCTCATTTGGAAACCAAGGACCCCGAGTATGGAGGAAGAATGGAGAGGCACAAGGACCCCGAGTATGGAGGAAGAATGGAGAGGCCCAAGGACCCAGAGTATGGAGGAAGAATGGAGAGGCCCAAGGACCCCGAGTATGGAGGAAGAATGGAGAGGCCCAAGGACCCAGAGTATGGAGGAAGAATGGAGAGGCCCAAGGACCCTGAGTATGGAGGAAGAATGGAGAGGCCCAAGGACCCCAAGTATGGAGGAATAATGGAGAGGCCCAAGGACCCCGAGTATGGAGGAAGAATGGAGAGGCACACACTGCAAGATGCTTGAAGTCCAGTGTGAAGTTTCCACAGTCTGTGTTGATTTGGGGAGCCATGTCATCTGCTGGTGTTGGCCCACTGTGTTTCATTAAATCCAGGGTCAACGCAGCCATCTACCAGGAGATTTTGGAGCACTTCATGCTTCCTTCCGCAGACGAGCTTTATGGGGATGCTGACTTCATTTTCCAGCAAGAATTGGCACCTGCCCACACTGCCAAAAGCACCAAAACCTGGTTCAATGACCGTGGGATTACTGTGCTTGATTGGCCAACAAACTCGCCTGACCTGAACCCCATAGAGAATCTATGGGGCATTGCCAAGAGAAAGATGAGAGACATGAGACCGAACAATGCAGAAGAGCTGAAGGCCGCTATTGAAGCATCCTGGTCTTCCATAACACCTCAGCAGTGCCACAGGCTGATAGCTTCCATGCCACGCCGCATTGAGGCAGTAATTGCTGCAAAAGGGGCCCAAACCAAGTACTGAGTACATATGCATGCTTCTACTTTTCAGAGGTCCGATATTGTTCTATGTACAATCCTTGTATTGATTGCATGTAATATTCTCATTTTCTGAGATTGTAGATTTGGGGTTTTCTTGAGCTGTAAGCCATAATCATCACAATGATGACAAATCACGGCTTGAACTATCTTGCTTTGCATGTAATGAGTCTATCTCATATATTAGTTTCACCTTTTAAGTTGCTGCACTGAAATAAATGAACTTTTGCACCATATTCTCATTTTTCGAGTTTTACTTGTATAACTATTAAAATCCGGTTATGCTTTGCTAAGTGTTCATAAGGTCACCTTGATGGGTAGGTGATGATACCTCATCCCTTCACATAGTGGAAACCAAGTATAGAAGAAAAATGGGACTTTCTTGGTGTCATCCAAAACCAAGAGCACACAATATTCAATAAAATTTATATTTATTATGAATATGGTTCAATTTTCTTAATAAAATAGTGTACCCCAACATTGTTACACTGTTACTGTCCTTTCAGGACTTGCTTTGCCATTAAACTGTCATACAGTAAATATTGTCCTGGCTATAATTGATGTGTCCAATATCTACACTTTGAGTCCAGTGGACACTTTTATTGATGTGTCTTCGATGCATGTGACCAAGATCTTTCCTTCAAGTTCATTGGACTCTATGATTGATGTTCCCAAGACCCTTAGATTGATGTACCAAGATCTTTACATCGACTCCATTGGACTCTTTGATTGATGTGTCCAAGATCATTACTTTGAGTCCATTGAACTCCATGATTGATGTGTCCAAGACCCTTAGATTAATGTAACCAAGATCTTTACTTCAAGTCCATTGGACTCTTGGAATATCTTAATTTTGAGTCCATTGGACTCTTTGATTGATGTGTCCAATATCTTAATTTTGAGTCCATTGGACTCTTTGATTGATGCATCCTAGATGTTTACTTTGAGTCTATTGGGCACTTTGAAAGATGTGTCAACGATCTTCAGTTTGAGTCCACTGGACAATTTGAGTGATGTGTCTTTGATTGATGATCATTTAGATCAAATTGAACCTTTCCTTGAGGCATTCTGTTGAGTTGGTCAGACCTAGCTTTTGTGGAAGTCTATTTCAAATTTTCAGAGTTCATACATTTCCCTATGCGACAGTTAAACTTAATTTCCTCCACATGCAAAGAGACACTCCTTCTCTAAAATGAATTACATTAAGCCAGTTCTGTAGTGTCCAAGGGTAGACAGCTCATGCTATAATGTGCAAACATGAACAGTATGTGGAGGACTTATCTGTGTGTTTGCTCTCCTCCAAAGCCAACAGCTAAGAGTTGTCCCGTGCTGTTCTCCATCTTCTTTCAGGTTTGGCTTCCCTACTCTTTGGCCATTGGCGAGCCACTGATGATGCAACTCCTGCCCACGTGCACTGGAGTTACACTGTTCCTCATCCAACTCCACCGTCTGCATCTTACAGAATAGGCTAGGAGTGCACACTGTACCATACACGTTCTGCAAGTCGTGTACACTAGAAAAGAAAATGCTAGGAACAAAAGGAAAGGGGTTTTTTTTTTTTTCGCTGCAGAGAAATGGAAATTCTGTTCCATAAGAAAAAAAAAAAATTTTAAAGAGTGTTCACTAAAACAAAAAATCCCCCAGCTACCTCCCTATCATCTCCAATACGACTTGTTGTGTCTTTATCCCCTAGAGGTCCATATTTACCTTGTCCAATTGGAAGGGTCATGTTGCTTTGCAGGTCCGGGAAATCCTTAGAGTCAGTGTTCACTCTAATTAAAAAATTTCCCCATCTGCCTCAATATGCCTAGCTGCATCTACCCACCTCCCCCCAAAGGTCTGTACTTACCTCGTCGTCCAGCAGCCCAGATGGCAAAAGTCTAGTGCCAAGCCACCTGTTCATTAATGTCCCATTGACATGGGCAGCACAGTGACTTAGTGGTCTGGCTTGCACGACAGGGGTCCTTGTTTCAAATTCCCACCAGGACACGGACTGCATGAAATTTGTATGTTCTCTGTGTGGGTTTCCTCCTACACTCTGAAGTCCTATGTCACACTCAGTCAGAATGCCCAAGATAGTTGCCTCACCTAGTGTTAAGTGGTATGAGTCCCCAGGGGGGATAGAAATAATAAATTAGAATTTAATGGGACATTCAAGTTTATGGGACCTTAGTATGTCAGTAGCCTGGCACTTGTTTTTTGCTGCAGCTATTGGACAAGGTAGACACGGACCTCCAGGATGGAGGTGGCTGATAAATGCAGCTAGTGGTATTTAGCCAGATACGGAGGAGCCATTTATTTCTTTAGTGAACGTGCATTTAAAGAAGCTCCAGACCCACAAAGCTAAACAAGATGTAACATCACACCTACCCCTTGTCTAATCTGTTGAAAGATCACAGATATGATTATATACATTTCCACCCTTGGAAAGTTTTCTGATATGAGGCCTCATATGAGGTTTCTGGATCCTGGGAGTAGCCTTCCAGTTGCGCATAGCAATAGGTAACCCTGACAAAGTTCATTGATGGTTTCATCTCACTGTAACCAGACTAACCTTGCAAACAGGCTTGGCCACTCCAGCATACACCTCCAGGCAGAACACAGGCAAATAAACGCAAAGTATTTCCTATCCATATTTAAAATTTTTTTGCACATTTTGATGGCACGCAACAACATTGCCTTCTGCCCTCCCTAGTTAAAATCTTATGCTTTTTCCTGCATCTTTATAATAGAGCAATACATGTTTTTTGTGGTTTTTTTTTTTTTGCTTTAATTGGTTGTCTGTCTTAGAAAATCCATTTCTGATATATTGCTACCTGTTTTTTGATGTCAAATGTGCTGCATTCTTTATGTTATTTCTATATGTATAAATAAGACACATTTAATGTGATCAGTACAGAGCTCTCAGGGGAATACTAGGATGGGGGAGGCATATACTCCTTGGGCAAAGTTATATAATATATGTTGAGTTGTTGGCCCTGAGGGAAAG